AAGATCTCCCTGGAGGATTTGAACTTGCTTCCCTCAAGAACAGCTGCCCTGAGAAGGTCTCAAAAGGGGCCCAAATCCTCTCAGAAAAAGCCAGGCAGTCAGAAGACGAGGACCAGGAGCTTCTCTGGGAAACACAATTTGTGCCTTGCCGTTGTGGCAAACTCCGGCCTGAAGGGGAGGAAGATAGGACATGGGCGGGGAAGCCGCAACTGGGAAAATGTTTTTATTTCTCTATTTCTGTATCTATAATCTGCCCTTGTCCAATTCTTGGCTACGGGTGCCTCAGGATCACCAGTGTGGAATTCGTAGTCTAGTTGAAATAAAAATCACCAGCTAAAACTTCCAAGAGAAAACAATGATTTATTTGTATTCCTTTGCAAAGGGGGTGCTCCTTGTGCATGCAAGCATACAGTGGACACACCCCAAATCTACTATATTCGTTTTTTATATTCTCCATTGCCATTACACGTTTACCTCCTACCTCTTCTTCATCGCCTTAACAATCATACTGTAATCATGTTGTCACAACCCATCCAAAGCTCCTAATTATCTCCGCCCCTGATTACATCTCCCATTACTTTAATTCTATCCCCCCCCCCGCTCTCATTTACGAATTACCTTTTATGGTTTGTTAGTTGCTAGTTGTCTCTAAAGTTGCTATCATATCAGTAGATTCTGCTTAGGACCGGTTTTCAGCTAGCAGAGACCTTCCTAGATGCAATTCTCAAGCTTCAAGCTAGGCTCATGAGATTAAAATATATGCAATGTATTTGTTTCACAGGCCAGCATGTCTTCTCACAGTTCTGTAAAAACAATAAGCTCTTTCTCCCACACCGGGAAGGCCGAGTGACTTCTTGTAACCAAGGAAAGGATGCTGAAGGGAATGAAAAAGCCGCTCCAAAGTGGGGGGAAAACTGAAACTAGTGGATGTTCCAGAAATTTTACCTCACGACAAGGCTCCTTGGAGGAGAAATGATGAGTGGGGAAACGGCATCTCATCTGTGACTGGAGAAAAGGTGGAATTGCAAAAGGATGGAAAGCAAAGATGGAATAGAGAATATAACATTAAAAGACCATGGGGGGGGGGGAGAACAAGAGGAAAAGTGTTTTTTATTTAGGGTAATACCAAACACCCTCAGGAAATACAAATAGGAAACTTAAGACCTTTGTAGAATTTAAGGCAACTGGGATGTCTCTAGATCATGAATAAAAAGAAAAGTACAACTGTCTGATTTCCATTTCTGTAATAATGAAAAATTGGACAATAATCGGCAGAAAACTAGAATTGGTGCCTTTTCTCCATGTTGACACAGAATCATCCAGGGGTACTATTTGAATAAAGAGCTTCAACCCAGCAGGAGTCTCTGAAACTCAGAAGTTTGTCCCCCATCCAAATCTCCCCCCCCCCCAAATTGTGATTAGCAATTTTGAGGGCTTTTCTTATTGTGGTACATTAAGCAGCTATAAAGACAGCATTTGTTTTTCTTATAAAAATTTTATTAGACACACTCAAACTCCCATTCCTTACTTGTAAAGTCAACGCTAACTGCACCTTGTCTATTTTACTCTCTTCCTATTACCACAGGTTAACAACTATTTCTATCTTACTTGATATATCTATTTCTATATCTTCTTTCTCCATGTTTGTATAGGAAAACCCTTTTTGCTCCTCTGTAGATTTGTCAAGGGGTCCCAAAGGTGTTTTTTTCAAAAGGCAACTGGACTTTGTATTTTCTTGAAGATTTTTAGCTTTTTATCCAAGGAGCATCTTCAGTTCTGAAGATGCTTCTTCAATGAGAAGTGAAATGCTTTCAAGAAAACCCGGAGTCCAGTTGCCTTTTGGAAAAGTAACTTTGGGACAACCATGGCCTGGCTGTCTGAGAAATCTCCATAGGCATTTGTCAAGGGGCTTTCTTCTCTCCTCCCCAAGCATAATCATCTGTTATTGGAGCTGCTTTGGGGAATACTGCACCTTGGCTGGCTGCATGAAACCGCTTCCTTGGTGTCATGGTTCTGATAGATGAGACCAATTAAAGCCAAACTCAGAGAGTTTTCCTCTAAGAACATATTTATTGCTTACAAAGTATCGGCAGTCAAAAGTGAAACCAAGACTAAAGTTCCCTCCCAAAGCAACAGTATTACAAAGTTAAAACTCCCATCCTCAAAGGTATGCACTCAACTATGTTTCCCAACAGAATAAATTGGCGGGCTTTCTAACATTAGGCTCAACCCCCTCAACTGAGGGAACAGATATGACCTTGGTTCCCACGGGACAGAGAATTGTTAAGGCTAGCATAAAACATCCCATTCCTCCTCCCCCAATCCTGAAAATGGCAACTGAAAATGAACAAGATGGCTTCAGACAGGTTTGTTACAGGTTTGAAAATTGGTTTTTCACATAGATAGGTCTCATTTTTTTTCTTGCAGTTCATCCAGCTTTACCCTTCTATACAATAAACTCTCCAGTGAAAGTGGGGCTGCAGGTGTTGTAAACAGCCTCATTGATACATATTTTCATTTACATTAAATGTAGACTTTTTCTTAGCCCTTATTGCACCACAGAAAAGTAAAATATGGTCTAATTCTTGGGCAGTCTTTTGCACATGCATTTCAAGTGCTTCTTATCATTCTGGCTCCTTTTTGTGAGAGAAGAACACTTCATTCTGAAACTTTCTTCATGCTTTAATTATTATCTATGTGATTAATCTCTCACATCCTGAGAAGCCTTTGACTGAAAAAAGTTCCCTGCTTCTTCATTCATACTGGTTTACTAAGCTGTTTTGCACCGTGGATTGAAAAGTTAGATTATTTTTTTACTATACTCACACTCCAGAGGAAATTACCATTCTAATTTCTGTTATAGAGGAAGAAAAATTTCAGAAATTTAGTCTTGAAGAGATACATCAGGGAGATGCAGCTCCTTCCGCTTCTTGAGGAAGCAATACCTATTAAATATCTGCCTGATCACATCCCTCCTAGAGAAATCATTTCCCTGCTTAATACTGGGATACATTCTCAGAAGAGTCCCTTGTCCAAACTGAATAGACTGAGCTGGAGATTGCAAATCCAGTGGGGTTTTTGTACCATTAAGTATAAGTTAGAGCAGACATGTCAAACTTGCAACGTCACCTGACGTCATGTGACGTATCGGGACCGGTTTCCCATTACCGGCAATGGGGTGGGCGAGGCTTCCACGTGACGCGTCCGGCCCGTGGGCCAGCAGTTTAACACCCCTGAGTTAGAGGATCTGATGTTGCACTGTCACCAGATGTTAAATTTTTGAACATTCTTGTCATTTAGACATCTCTCATTTCAACATCTTACAATTGGCTGCCTGTGGCCTTCCGGGTGCGCTTTAAGGTGTTGACTATCATCTTTAAAGCGCTCCATGGCATCGGACCCGGATATCTTCGAGACCGCCTCCTGCCGCAGAGTACCTCCCATCGACCGGTACGCTCCCATAGAGTGGGTCTCCTCAGGGTGCCGTCAGCCAGACAGTGCCGGCTGGCGACCCCAAGGGGGAG